AATTTTGCAAATTGGCCCAGGTGAACTCCCACCAAATATCAACTTATGTACGTGGTGGAGACTTTAGTCACCTGGCACCTAAGGTTGATAAGCAAGAGTTTTCTGGATGCCACAGACACAGGCACAGGACTATGCATCCACAGAGGAGCTGGATTCAGGTTGTTTGGAGATCTCGAGCACTTCGCTTTGCACCTGTTTTTATCCCACCATCACTTAAAAGCATTACAGTACATGGAGTAGCGCATTCTGTTCTTGGTTCTGAAAGGCTCAAACCACTTAAAGAATACAGAGGAATGTAAACCAGAATGCCAGATCCCCCTACAACTTAAGGAAAAGTCATTCTTTTTAACAATATAGAAGTAAAACCCTGAAATATTTCACTGATCCCCACTGCTTACTACTTGCACAAGACACTAGTCACCATTTTTCCTAAGTCTAAGTCAGAACAGTTGACAAAAGAAGAGGTTCTTTAAAGGAGGCAGAGATGTAGCTGTGTACAAATCCGAGGATCTAACAGGGAAGACTACTTTGCCTGGTTGATTTGGACCATCCAGAAGAGACCTCTGCAGTGCCTCGAGTGAGAATTTTCCACTGCACAACATCACCTGCTATTTAGGGAAGCATTTGCTGGGGCTCAGCATTAAGCAGGTACCAAGAGCAAGGGATGCTCAGAATTTATGTCTATTGATGTCTCATTTAGAGAACTACATTGCTTAATTCAGATTCAAAAATATCTCCAGGGGATCAAAAGAAGAAACCTGCAAGATTGAATCAGTAGAAGAACGAAGCGTATTCCCTGAACAAACATTTCATAAACACCATTTGGCCTATAGATAAAAGAATCCATCACTAAATGCTTTTGTCAATACCCTGGGTTTGTTGTATTTCCACATCTAAAATGTGCAGACAGAGCATACAACAGCAGGAAAACATTAAAACCACACGGTCAGACTTACAAAGCCCCTTCTATGTATATACACATAAAACCCCAGAATGGTCAAGCCATCTGGGAAAACCAAGGTCATGCAGAAACCTTGAACAAAATTAGTAGAGCTGTACAATTGGAGACATTTTATGAGGTCTTCACAAAGGCAGTACTTAAAATGAACAAAACAGCTTTCCTTGAAAGGGAGCCTTTCCTAATACACCATAGCACGCAGTTAGATCTCTTTCCCATCAAACCTTTTCTCAAGGGGAATGTCTTGCACGAACACTGCTGATCCTTCCATGGGATGCAGCAGTCCCACTGCTCCAACTCTCTCCTGACCAGCCCTAGTGGAATACAATCAGCTCAATTATCGGGGGCTGCCTGAGCGGCTACAAGAGTCACCCCACTAACAGTCCTTCACTACCTGGGGACAAAAAGCAGCCTAGCTGTGCTACCGAGTACATGCTCCGGGGCCAACAGCTACGTTTTTTTCCTACGACTCATCATACCTATGCCCCCTATCACACACATGTATGTTCACAGGCTGAGAAAGACCTGAAGACAAGGGGAAGATGTCATCACCTCTGCCACTGAGCCTGATCTGAGCAAATGAACTCGGCCATCTGGCTACATTTCTGTAACAAAATTCTTTTCACTAATACAAAGGATGGGGGAACGTACGATTACCCTGAGTTACTGTAATGGCTGCAGCTCTAGCCTGGGCACTTAGAAAACAGCTCCTGCCCACAGTGTCCTCAGTGGCGAGCAGAGCAAACCCAGCCTCTGTGCCCGCAATACAACCCACTCCACAATGCACTGGCAACGAAGCCTCAGCCTGTGCCCTTAAAAATGTCCTGAACCACAAACTTGCCCGTAGAGCGGCTCCTCATGCAGCAGGACGTTAAAAATACAGCTTCTGAGAAACCAGACCTCAAGACATCAAGGCTCAACTTGTCACAAGGCACCAGATCAGCAATGGAGACGGAGGGAAGCCACTGCTGAAGCTGCTTATCCCTGTCAGTCCGAGGAAAGACAACCTTTGGGTTGAGACTGCAGAAGAGCTGAGAAAAGGGAAGGTGGAAGCGGTAATACAGCAAGCTGGCACCGTCCCTGCCGAGCTGCGTAAGGTCGGTCCTGTTGTAGGCCTGGTTCAAAGCCAGTCCTGCACACTCACTGCCCTCATCGCCTGGTCTCCCCTCCTCTCCCCATCTGCCCCTTCAATCACAGCCATGGTGGGACCCATTCACCTAAACGCATACAAGGAATAAAACATCCAACAAAGGAAGAGTTACAGCTTTCCTCTCATCTCCCTCTTCCATCATTATTGCCACTGAAGGGCCATTTTATCACTTGCAGCTGTGGTCATTCAGCGACAACCTGCTGTGCTCAGAGGCAGATGAGACCTGCACATTTGATCTGCATTAAGCCTGTTTCATGGCTTCACATTTCGAGGTACATTCCTAACAGCAGCACCAACAACCAAATCTTTTCATCCCTCCAACTACTCAGTAGCTCCTGTGAAAACTGTCATTCATCTTTCACATCAGGCTTTTTTTTTTGTTCAGCATCGGTTAGCAATCTGTGCCCCAAATGCATCAGCCTCAAACAAGGGCCAGCACTTCGCTGGCTCCTCCTGGACAACAGCAAAATCCCCATCTTTACACCAGCAATGTTTATTAGCAGAGCTGCTTTCCATTCCCTTCAGACACAAGGTGCAAATTAACCAGCTCTTCACACATACTAGCTAAGAAACACAGCACTTTGCTCTCAGGTGCAAGGAGCCCTCGGTTGTATCCACCTTTGGGGGACTCTTTCAGAAGAAGGCAGCTGTTCAGCCTTGTTTGGTTTAGGACGCTTGTTTGGCACATAAAGCAAGAGGAGGAGAAAAGAAAGCCTGAACAGTATCCTGTGATAACTTTGCTGTAGAAGCTCCCAGATTTTTGAAGATCCCAGAACAGGACGCAGTGGGCAAGTCCATCTGCTTCCTAAAAAACGAAAGCCCTGTTGTAGATAGCGGTGAGGAGAGCAGGCATGGGAAAAGTGGGCAGTCCAGCTGCTGAAAAACCATGCCAAGTCACAAGATTTCCCTTGTGGTAAGACACAGCAGCTTAGATTAAAGACAGAAGAGAAGCTGCCTCCTATAGCTCAACCTATGCTGTTCAGCTCTGTCAACCTGAAGAAACTCGGCTCCCCAGAGTCCTTCTGCCTGTTTCTTTCTGGGGTGCCAAAATATAAAGCAAGCCCACGGCTGCCTCGTTCCCTGCAATCTAACCAGTTCCCCAGAGCAGGGCCAAACATTTCCAACCCCTCTGGCAGAGGGATGTCAGCTCACAGCATCTCTCCCCCATGGGTGCTGGGCTCTTATATTTTATTTTCAGTCTTCTAGCAAGCAAGAAAACAAGGGAGTCTCCAGAAAACAAATACACTTGGAAATGCCCAGATGATTAAAAGCTAAACTCCTACAGCAGCCAGCTGGTGACCAGCTCAGCCCCTGCACCAGGAACATGCCAGTTATAAATAATTAAAAGGTGATAGGAAGGAGACACTCAAGTATTAAGCAGATTTCTGTCTAGGTATCTGGAGGTTTCTATTGCTGCCAATCACACCCTTCCGATTATTGTCTTGTCAGTCAGTCATCCCAGCCCTTACATGAAGATGTGAGCTCAGGTTAACAGCTGCAAGTAAACTAATTAAGCCCGGTTATGCCTCTATGACAAAAGCCAAAAATATCAGCAAAACCCAGCTCTAATTTTTAACCAACTTGGAAGCATAACTTCAAACTGCTGGAGAGTGAAAACTCACCCAGGTCAGCTGTCAGCTCTAGCCATGCCAGGAAAAACAGACACGGATACAAAGAGCAATTGCAATAGCTGCATTTTGGATAGCCTTTCCTCCACTTGTGATCCAGTCACCCACAGAGGGGATGCATCTGAAGATGCAGTGTTCCAAAGCCAACGGGAAATAGACTCCAAGCTAGCAAACAGATAATTTTCAAATAGGTGAGACTGAGAGGCTGCATCTTTATGCTTTATTAGACTCTTGGGGCACAGTACTGCTGGTGACACTAAGGCAGCCCCTCTTCCAAATAAGCACAACCTGGCTTGTTTGGCCCAGCACACTCAGAGTGCGCTATGCCATGAGGGAGCAAAGGGTGCTTTTTTACGTCTGCTCTTCACACCCACCTTCAGCAGACTTTTTGGAAACAATGAGAAGGTCTACAGCACAATTTAACACTTTCTGTCAGAACCATTTGTTGGAAGAGTCTGTCTGGCCTGGCACGCTTGGAGGGGTGAAGGAAGGAAGCACCACAGAGGATTTACCACAAATGTCCACAGAGGTATGTTTTATACGTTACCACATACATGTACATTTTGTTAGTAATAGCTTGCAATGAGGGAACTGAACTTTGATATTTAGGTGACAGCAAGAGACTTTTGTGACATCCCAGCTGAGCTACTTCACACATGCACCACCGCTCCTGGAGCAAGGAGAGATGCAAGGTGCTGACACCACAGGGAGGAATGTGAGAAACCGTGCGCTTCTGCACTCAGTTACACGAAGTTACTAACCGGAAAGGTGACACATCGTGAATCTACACGAAAATGTGCCTTGGTGTGTATTTTTCCCAGTCCCCAAACTGCATGCCACTACTCCATGCAGACTGTGAAGGCATTCACACTCAGCTTCCACATGCCATCGAAATCAAGTGTGAGAAGATGTGTGATCATGCCACCTGAAGGGAAGACCAGAGAATCCCCGGTCGTACTCAATCTTGTTTCAAAAATCCTTGGGGAATCAGGCTTTCTGGGCTCTTTTGTGCATGGGCAACATCAGTATTGGGTAGCAGGGTAAAGAAATAGTGTCTGTGAAGTCAAGTTACAGAGCAGGAGCTCTTTCCTCCTACGCTCCTTATCTCCCAAGGCAAATATCTCAAGTCTTACCACCATTCCACCTGATCTGGAAGTTCAAGGGCTGGATTTTTTCCTTCAAACTCAGGAAAGAAGAATTCAAACGGCAGCAGGACCCTCCTGCCCCGTTTTACCCTGTCACGTTCAGACAAATGCTCACTCACCCCTCTTCTGCATAAAGATGAAGAGGTCATCCAGAAACTCCTTCCGTTCAGGGTCACTATCCAGTTCATAGAGCTGGGGGGAAAAAAAATAAAAATGAAGGCACAATCCGCACTGAGACAGAAAATCAAGTAATAATGCCAGCTTCTTCCAGTGCGTGTACTGGAGGGGTGAAAGGCAGCCGCAGGCAAAGAGGCCAAACAAGGAAGGATTCCTGAGCAGTTCTGTGGACAAGGCTAAGGTGATAGCCTGAGGACCCTCGTTACGGCTTGCCTTGCTCAGCCCCTCGGTCACTCCTCCGGGCAGAGCAGAGACGGTCAACCCGAAGGGAGCAGGATTCCATTCAGCTAGCTCTGCTACAGAGCAGCTTTGAAACCACCTGAACGCAAAGGGGAGAGAAACTATTAAGACAAGCTGGAAAGAAAGATGAGACAAAAGGAAGGTGACAGCAGTTCAGGGCAGATTAGCGGTCTGTATCTTTGAGGTACCAGGGAGGGAAACTTCTCTGCAGCTTCTCCTGGCCTCATGATTCCCTCCTTCAGGGATTGTCACATAAGTGACAAACTCCAAGTCCCTTGAAGGGGGAGATGAAAGGACAGAGCTTTCCTGTAACTACTAATGCCTGGCAGGAAAGGCTCCTTTAAAACAAGTGAAAAAGCCTTGAAAAAATATCAGAAACCAGACCAGAACCAATTTGCTGCAGAAATCATTCTACAAAAAGGCTTAAAACCCCAAGCATTTAAACCAGAGTTCCACAGGCGGCTTATTCCAAAGGAAAGGCACTGTATGCTAACAAAAAAATCCACTGGTTTTTCAGAAGGGGCAGGCCCAAGAGTATCATCTCTTACAACTACCCCTTGAACAGAAAAATCTAATTTTCACCTAGCAAGACTCCTGCAAGGCCACAAAGTGACAGGCTGAAAGGGCTGAAGTCAGTCTCTCACCGAGATGCAGGAGGATACAGAACCAGGCAGAAGACGATGCTGTACATTAATTCAATCCCTTCTCTCGTTTCATTGAGGAAGAATCCTGCATCACTCCAGGGAATTTTTGGTGGAGCAGATCAACAGAAAAGCAAAGATTCATTGGGAAAAATGTCTTTCAGTCTCTCCATAGGTACTGCTAGCTACTCGGTATTCATCTAGCCCAAAAGAAGAGGGGCTTTTTGGGCTCATTTCCTGTGAAGCGCTGTGCTTTCTCACACACTGAGCTCTGGGAAGAAAATGCACCAGTGTATTTGCAGAGCAATTAGCTGTACCCTTTCAGAAAGGGCCAGCTTAGTTTAAAATGAATTCCTCTGGCTGATGTGACACACAGCTGCCACATTCAGATCCACGACCACAGTGCTAATCAGGTTCAAGAAATGAAATACTCTTCGCCCAGCTGGAGAAAGTATTGACTAAGATTCTAAATGTCAAAAGGCTGGTTATTAAGTCTTAGTTCAAACTATAGGCCACAAAATAGCCCAACGAACTAGCAGGTTTGTAGGCAGAGGGCGGCAGGACAAAGCAGTTTTCTTACAAATTCATACAGAGGAACAGCGAGGGCTCCGTAGTCACCCTGTCACAGACGAGGGGAAGAATTCTCCAAAATCCCACGACCAGACTGACCTTGGCAAAGTCTCGTGAAATTTCTCTTCCTCGGCACCCATCCCCTTCATCGCTCCAGGTCACGTTGCCATTCTAGGGAGAGAGAAAAGGAAGGATGAAAGGATCGCCAGGGAAAGGCTTTGCGGACAAGCTTCCAAATGTGCATTTTTGGGCACAAACACGGGCAAAAGGAGCTGCTGGCATAGACCAAAAAGGCAAGACGGGGACATGCATGGATTTGTTACAGCACACATTCCTGGAATCTCTGACACTCAGCCCAAAATGGGAAGCGAGATTTCACCTTCCAGGGGACCAGAGGGTAGGGGAAGTTTTTCAGTGCTAAAATTTTTCTTGCAGAAATGTATCTCAAAGAAGTTGTCTGATGCTAGGGAAAACCATTCTAGTGGAAAATCCTCTGACACCTTCACCAGCAGCCTGCCTTCCTCTGCTAAACAGAAGCTTGCTACCCGCCCCATAGCAGGGGCTTTGCTGTAACGAGGTCCAACACCTCAACAGCGAGGTGCTGCTTTGGCTCTGCGTGTCCACCTCTTTACCAAGTGCATGTCCTAGAGCCCCTAGTGAAAGGTGTAGGTGTCACCTAGGCACCCTTCCTTTCTCTTTGCCAGGTGACACTAAAGACACTTGGAAATGCCCTTCCGTCCTCCCTCTGCTTGCCTACAAAACCAAAATCAGAGTATGCCGAAGACAGAGGGAATTAATTCCACTGGAAAGCTTCTTGCCAATCCTGGACCCTTACTCCTGGAAGCTACTGGATGTGGATTTTCCCCACAGAAATGGAAAGCTCAGCTTTGCTGGATTAAGGTTCATTCTTCTTAGGCATTAAAAGGATTACTCTAGTTAGGCCTATCCTACATCATCCTGAAATGATCACTGGGGCTGGAAACCAGCAGGGGCAGTGGGATCAAGACGAGAAGAATGGTCCTGAAACATGTTCAAGCATCTTTAAACTATAAACTTCATAAAGCTCCAGTACAGCAAGTGCTCCAGAGCCCCTCAAGGAAGCAGAAGAGCCAAATCCACCAAGTAGCTTGGACTACCCCATCCTGATAAACACACAGCATCCCAACACAGATAGAAAAGCACTGAAGACAGCAAAAGGTCTCGGCACAAAAAAATAAGCATGCGAATTAGAGAGGTGGTCCAATATCTGAAATCTTGGAGTCATCTGGTTGTGACACATACATTGAATTAGAAAGATGAATAGCTCTTGTCAAGGCCAGGCAAAGCTACATTTCCCCCTTTAAAAAACACTGCAGTGAGCTGCCCTAATGCCTGCTGATTTAGTTTGAGCCAGTAATTCCAAAAAAAAATTATCCAGTGAGTCCCATCAACTGAAAGATATTTAATGGGGGATTATTGCCACTTCTGTTATGTCAGCTGTTTATTACAGCAGATCAATTCCCAGCCCTCTCTAGGAAGAGATCTGAAGACCGGTTTTGTTCACAGGAGTATTCATCTGTGTGTCCTTTGCTAGCAGAGATTAAAAACACAGGGTTTTTGCTAATTACTGTAACATCCAGCTGCTCCTAAAACCCCACTGACTGTTAACTCAGATCAACAAACCTATGTGAACAGTCAGTAAGAGAGAGTCTCTCAGAAGGCAGAAGCTATCTCCCATCCTCAAGTTCACACACTCCAAGGCAAAATGATTTGTAGAGGGCTGAGCTGCTTCCTTCCCAAGTCTGCATTTGGTTATAAATCCAGAGGGCAAAACCACTCATGGTGTTAAACTGGGTGCTCCAAAGCAGCAAAACACTTGCTTTCATAGGGAACTTTGGTCATGCTGAGAGCTTATTCCACTACATTTGAGGACAGGGACAGGAAAGAGGGCTTAAAGGAGACAATCCTCTGCTGCTAGTGGGTTTGAACTTGGTAAAATTTCCAGGAACAAAACTTCCCATGGGATTAAAGACTCTTTAGAAGTCATTGCACTTGTTCTACTCGAAGGAAAAGGGTAATGAGAAAAGAACAAGGTTTGATACAGAGAATAAGCAGAATACGTGCACCCTGCTTCCCTCACCTACATCCCGAGATGCTCAAGAGCACAGAAGTAATGCTCCCCCACACCTCGCCAGTGAAAAGGAGCTTAAAGCTAGCTGAAGCCATCAGTGTTTTGCCATATGTCCAGAAAATTGGCAGAGATGGATATCACCTGGCATGACACCGAGTGATCCAAGGTCAGAGACAGTGGACAGCATTAGCATTTCCTCCTGCAAGAGCTGGAAAGGTTTAAAGCCAGTTCCCACTCCCCACATTAAGCTATCAGAAGAGATAAGGAGCGCGGTTCTCATCCACCTCGGCGCAAGCAGCCGCCGCCGCGGTGTAAATCAGCAAGGGTGCGCTGAAGCGAGGCGTGGGCTGCGGAGACACAGGGACAGAGCACAGGGTTGTTTTGGGTAGCGGAGTTAGCAAAGTCTCAGGCTAGCGTGAAATGTCAGCTCAGCAGCCGGGGAATAAAGCCTTATTTATTCAGAGAACAGACTACAAGCACCAACAGGCACTTTCCCAGGCCTCAGCTTTGATCTTGAGGGACTATTCTGCTCACCAAAACTTTTGGGTCCGTGCCAAGGCCACAACCAAAGACACCGAATATTGGCAGCGGTCAGAGCAGCGATCTGAGCACAACTGGAACAGGTAAGTCAGTAAAGATCCCCACGAAGCTACTGAAGCAAAAGGTGCTCCAGATGTAGAATAAACCACATTTTGCACAGCACGAGAGCTCGGCAGGAGCTTTGGTAGCAAGCTTCCTTCCCATTCCTCCTAGGAAAACAAAGTTACCCTATGCTGAGAAGCCCTCCTCCATATAAACAGCAGGAACCTGAGAAATCAATATATCCTCACAGGTCATTAAAAGACCTTTGTATAAGTCAGGCAATAGTAGCAGGAAGGAAAAAAACCCCACTGTTCAGAGAGGCAGGTCATTCTCTGGGGAGAGTCCTGTCTCTCCCTCCACCCGTTTGTATCGAGGGAATCTGCTGATGTTCGACAAACAGCCCTTGCGTTACCACGGGCAAGAATTCATCTGGTTTCTTGCAGAAAAGCAGCACTGGCTGTGCTTTACCCCTGATGACGAGCAGGAGCAGGAAGGCAGAGGTGCTGGGAAGGCTTGGCCACCCTCACAGGCCGCCGGCAGAGCCCTGGAGCCTTCCCCATGCCACAGACACCTCAGAGGCCATCGGAGCCCCCCCAGACCGCCCCCTCCCCGAGAGGCTGCGGGCCTGGCTTCAGAGGCAATTATATCTGGAGCTATTTTAGGATTACTCCCTAACCACCTGGAATATCTTATTAGAGGGAAGCTCAGATGTCCAGAGCAATTTTGGTTTCCAATCCCACATTCAAAAGCCAGAGTTAACCCCGAGTTGCCAAGCAGACAGAAAAGGAGATGACAAATGTTTTCCTGCTTCGTCCAGCCCATTCTTTTGAGGACAAAAACCTTACAAACAAGCAGCCTAAACCCCTCTGCAGGACACCTACCTCTCAAATATCACCACCTCACAAGTCTGTCCCTCTGAGAGACTAAAGAATCAAAAGTCTGTGCTCAAAAAAAAAGTGAAGTATTAAGGTGAACAGAAGAGCAGTTCACAGTCCCCTCCACTTGTGCCTGCACAAATCGCAGTTAGTGTGCAAACAGGGACATGGATGAGAAATTCAAAGTGCTCCTTTTCCAGATCATTCCCTTCTTCCCAGTTTCATACAGGTGTTTGAGGGGCTCAGCTAAAGCCCAAACTACAGAGTTTTATTCAAATGGCAAATCTCTGAACTGGAGAGAACCCAGTAAAGCTTTAAGATGTAAAAGAAAAGAGAAGAAAGCTTCTGCCACGAAACTCAATCATTCTGCGCCTCCCTACTGCGGACCTGCAGTTTTGACAGGGGTCTTAGGCTAGAAATCTGCTGAAATATCCACTTAGGGACTAGGCTAAATGTTGCCGTGAAAAACAAGGCCCCTCCCCTACCCCATGGGTTAACTGAAAGCACCAAGTCAATGAAAAGGTACAGGGGCAGCAATTTCAGGATTATCAGAGAATCCACAGAAATTCCTTTTGTGGGTAGAGTTAAGCCTTAGGAAGTGAAACAGATGCTATTATAAAGAAAACTGTTGTACTACAAAACGCTGATAAGATCAGGACTACTGCCCTGAGCTGCAAGTTCTCAAGCATGGAGAAGCAAGTTATAATTACCACATACACAAGCTGCCTGGTAAAGCTCTGCTGAAATTGGAATAAACCCTTCCCAGTCTTACTAATAACAGAGCTCAATTCAATAGCTACAAGCTTCAAAGATGGGTTTTGAAAATATTTTAGTGATTTCAGGAATGGCAGGGAGGATGAGGAAGGAAAGAAAAGGAACGGACTGAAGTTAACAGATTAATTACTACTTTATTAAGTTTTTTATGTGCTCCCATGACCTAGTGACTGCAGCACCAACACAATTCTTTGCAAAACAGGAATCTGCTTCCTTATCCTTACGGAAAAGTTGGACTCTTTGTGAATGACTCCTATTCACAAACGCTCAGAGGAATTAACTAAAATCTAAGTGACAAGAAGATTTGTTCAGTGCTACATGGCTGTGGGAAGAGGAATTCTCACTGCCACATGCGAAAGCCTCAGTGACAAAAACAGAAGTGTACGAATACAACACATTCGAGCTCTTGCCACCTACCACTCTCCGGTGTTAGCTAGAACTTCTATAAATTGGCCCCGAAGGAGACAAGCTGCAACTATTCCTAAAGATAAATTTAGCACCCGAACAAATCCTGAAGCGAGCCATACCTTCCCCAGGATATAAATGAGCTCCTTGCTCTGCTCCTTTGCTCTGCCTCCAGCTACAGCAACATAACACAGCCTTGATGAAGCCTATGGAATTGCCTGTTGAGATGAAGATTTGCCAATACAAGTTGTTCGTGGGCTGCTGCCTACAGTCGTTATCACAAGCGGGTTCTTGGTTCTCCTCTCCCATACATTATTTGGCACATTAAACAAAAAGGTGACTGTTGCTCCAACACTGATGCTGCACTTTAAGTTACATATCAGTGTGAGCACCAGGTTAGGTGCCATGGCAGAAGCAGACTGTCACAGGGATGAAGACTTCATCAGAACAAACCTAAACCATGAATTTCAAGAGAAGCAGCAATTGGCAATTTAAGATTTAAAATCTGTTCTTATGGAAAACAGCTTTCAGGAAAAAAGAAACCAAATAGCTCACATCTGGCCACTAATGAAGAGTTCTCCTCCTACTACACCATAAAAAGAAAAATACCCAGTGACCCACATAAGGAATTAAAAATCCAACCCTTGAATTGGGCCCTGGATATCTGAAATAGCTAGGAGGTAAAAAAAATGCACCATGTGAAATGCAACTTTATTCCTGGGACCTTCACCCCCGCTGGATTAATGAGTATCTCCTGAGCAATACCTCAATACGCACACCACTTGAGGCACATACTTAAGGTTATGGAATCTCAGCCACTCATTCCTAGACCCTAGAGCAAAAGCAAAGTAATTATTTTAAGCTGACTTATCTCAATAAACACCATGACCTTTCTAAAAGTTTAGGTCAGAATTTTCAGGAGTGACTGGTGATTTCTGAGAATCTAACATGAGACATCCCCCAAAACCAGACCACAAACCACTTGCTGAAAGTCAGACAGCTGCTTTACGGAGGGAGACTTACCTTGATGCATTTAAGAAGGCATTAAGTATCAGCTGATGCCTGAAAACCTTGGCTTTATTTTCACATTCCACAAAGGAACGTGTGTGCTGCAGTAACAGCCTAAATTGCTTGTGCCAGTGCTGCACACCAGCCCCGAGTGGAAGAGGCGCCAGCAGCACCAGCGAGACAGCAGCTGTGGTCCTGCCTTTCCTACACGGCTCGCCCTGGTAACCAGAGACATCACCCAGCAATGCGAGAACCCACGGGACAAGGACCCGCACCCAACCATCTGCTAAAGGCAACATTTTCACCCGCGGAATTAAAACCCCATTTTTCTTCAAAGACAGGCAGCCCACAACGCCCATTTTGAGGACGGCTGCGGGAGCCTTCGGCTGTCAGAGCCGTGATGGATTTGCAGGGGATTCAAGCAAGTCAGAAGAGCGAGCGAGCTGAGCACACACCCCCCCGGCTCTTCTTTCGGGACTGCAACTCCCCGACAAGCAGCTCCACTCCCTTGTTGTTTTGTGCTGACAGGATTCCCACCGCCCCCGTGTCATAAGCTGAGCCAGCTCTTTTGTCTGCCGGCTTGTTCTACAATTATTTACTTGGCTGTCCGGGACTGAACAGAATGGGGCTTCATCTTGCTGGTAGTTTCCACCTTTCTGCCATCTTCATGCCACATACCTTCCAGGCAATCTTAGCCTTACGCTTTCAAGATACATTTTTCCCCAAGGGCATCACTTTCAGAAGAACAATCCACACTTGATAAAAGAAATAGAAGTGACTTTTCCCCCCTCTTCTGTGAGCAACAGCCATTACGCATACCACAAATACTCCCAGAGCAGAGCTCGCTGGAAGCAGTGTGTACTGACTGGTTATTAGCCTCCATCTCAACAGAAGCTAAAAAAAGACAAGTTCAGGAATCATTTCGAAAACAAGCTGGAGAATGCAGGCACTTCTGCATTTGATCTCAGGTTTTCTGCCTAACACAACCATTTCAGACAAAGAGAAAAAGAAAAAGCCCAGTATCTTTAAAGTATATCTTTGAAATTAAAAACTTCAAGCGAGGCTCACACTGGGGCAGCGTGCTACTACTTCTCACGCAGAATTACGTGGACAGTCTCCAGTCACACACACATTTCTCCCCTCTGCTGTCGTGCCAGCTAACAGTCCCTGCCTGCCCCCCGCCTCGTTTGTTCCCACCCCCACGCAGCCCCCTGCTCACCAGCTCTGAACTGGTATACCGCAGTTAAATTTTTACTCCCTGGTATGCAGACTCCACTGGTGAACGCAAACAAGTTGATCTGCAATATTTACCCTACTGAAGGGGAATATGCTCACTAGCATCCCTAATATTGGGCACTTCAATACGGCCTTTTGAGCACCTTAATTAATATCGTTCACCGGCACAACCACGACTATAAGCTGTGCCTCGCTAGGGCAGACCAGCTAGCCCAGTACTCCAGCTCCACTGACAGTGCCAGGAAAGAGTATTTTGGGACAACACGTGAACCTGCCCACTTTCTGCCATACCTTCCCACCATCCAGAACTGTTGTAGCAAGAACATCCCCGATATTCCTTTATAATCCATTCCTTAGCTCGATGTCCACGAATTTCTCTAATTCCTGTCTTTACTGCTGCAATGGCTGCCTCGCCACCAGTGAAACAGATTACTTTAACACGTCACCAAGAGAGTTTTTCTTTTAGTTTTGCTTCCTGGTGCAGCTTTGTGCACTTGGCTTCCAGAACACGTTGGCCTAAAAATCACTCTAAGCCGCAACCTACTACCAAAATACTTGATTACTGCTGAAACAGGCCAAAGTAACTGGATCAGTATTAGTGCACGGTATGCCAACTGTAAAGCAGTATTTTATTTTTTTGGTTGCTATCCCACATCAGCTAAGACCAGATCTGGCATGCTTAAGGTCATTTTTCTTCCCAGAACAGGGCAAACAGCCTAGGAAACAAGCCTATTAATTCAGCAAGATTCACAGGACTCTCACAAGATAAGCAAGTATTGGAATGAAGCACAACATACTTGTTAGCACTGGCCGAGCTAGAAATAAAAACAGCCAAAGACTAATGCTAAGTTTATTGATTTTTTTTTTTTTTAGAAAGTGATTCTTGTAATACCAGTCCTGCCTACTATTCTCCACCCAGAGACCTGAAAGAGGAAGTTTTCACCAGTCACTCCAATCCAGTAAATTCTGAAGCAATTTCTCTAGCGATTGTCCCCTGACTGACATACCCACCTCAAAAAAAGCAGCTTGAGTAACTCTTTTTTCAACCCAACCCCTCTTGAGAAACAAGCGCAGAGAAAACACAGCAGCAATGGGTCGCCCGCTGCACCCCGTGCACCAGGGCAGCTTCACCACCATTTTGTAGCACAAATGCCATTCACCCGGCAACGTCGAGGAGTTCCTGCCACGTGCATTGGTGTAGAAACACCAAACTGGGACAGTTTCGCAGGAGCAGCTGGGCAGCCTACAGGCCACGCCAAATGGAATTAGGAGAAGAAACGCAGCTTGCTGAGTTTTACAAGTTCTTCCTCAAACCGCTGCCTGCAACAGCATGAAACAAATAATCTCGTGCATGCAACCAACAGCTACAGGGAGAGCCTGCCCTGAGCACCCGCAGCAAGCTTTCAGGTACCCATAGTTCACCAGCCACCACAAAGCAGCTCCAGCTTTTTTACTCTGTCACATTTGCAGGAGGGAAGGAAAGAACAGCTCTTGTTTTGTCTGTAAAGGGTTTCTCAGCTCAAAGAACTCTATCTGAAGCAAAACATAACCCTCTCCATGCTCAAACTAACATCTGTAGGAAAGGACAATTAAGTCCAACTTTTTTTCTTTAAGAATGCAGTCCTTTGGCTCAATTTCAATACACATAAATGCTGTAAAAGTCTGAGTCTGCTCAAGTCAGCTCTGTAACAAAACAAGCGCTACATTAAATGAAATACCCACTTACAACAAAGAAAACAATTTCTGACCCTCTAGCATTTATTTCCAAGAACCACTATTTTCTTCAGTCAAACACAGAATTAACCTCCTACCAAAACCAAGCAGTAGCAAGTTAGCTCCTTCCTTCCTTCCCACACATGAAATATAAAGTGGCTCTGCTTACTCACAGGATCAGTGGCAGGACGCGCACTCTGCCCTGCCCACCCCACCAACCAGAAATCCAAGTCGCTGCATCCCGCAGGCCTTACACAAGGGGGTTATAGATGTCGTACGTGAAATAACTTGAGCGAGACACTAACAGGCAAGTGTCTGCACCAAAAATAAATATAACACCAGCCTGTTCCATTCTGAATGGCCCAGCAGCAGCGAGGTAGGAGATAAACGAGCCAAAGACCAAACCTCCCCACAAAGGCTGTGGCAGACTGGGGTTTCTGCATCGTTCGCTGGAAATCTGGAAAGCAAATCAAGCGCTCGTCAGATCTCTCTACAGGAGAGCAAACCTGGAGGAGTACACCAGGGGAGCACCGCTCCGCGCGTGCCCGGTGCTTGCGCCCTTCCCAAAGCACCTACAAACAGCCGGGGCTGTAACGGGACCCTGGGCTGAGGAAACCCGCCATCGAACTGAACATGCTCATTCTTATTCAGAAGGAACATGGTGACACTGACCTGTTTGAGCTGCTCGTCCAACCGCCAGTTCTGGCGCCCAGACGGGGAACCGGAATACGGTGGCTTAGTAGTGTCTTTACCCTGTTCTTCTTTGCCCTGCTGTCCCCGCTGGTGCCCCGAGGCAGGAAGAGGATTCGAGGTAGAGGCCACTCTTTGGTTGTGATGGGCAACTTTGGGAGCATGAAAATATTTCAGAGCAGAGCAGGTTTCTTTTCCAGTCACATCAGCGCCATCCTCAAGATCGCCACCTTCCAAACCCCCTTCTTCCTCCTCTTCATCTTCTTCCTCCTCCTCTTCATCCTCCTCCTCCTCTTCCGGCTCCGAATTCATGCTGCTCTGATCAAAAGCCCGCGTAGCTCCGGCTGCAGGTGGGCCTCTGGCCAAGGGACCAACAGCAGAGCCACCCGAAGCCCTGCCAGATGTGGCTGCTAGGACAGCCTGCTGCACCGCCAGCTGCTGGGTGTAGAGCAGCTGGGCTTCTCTCATCTGCCTCTGCTGTCTCTCCCTGGAATCCATCTGCAGAGGCGTTTGCTGCTTCTGCTGCTGCTTCTGCAGCTGCTCGACCACAGCTTCCAGCTTCATCCCGCAGTTTGCATGGCTGGGAAAAGAGGGGGGCGTTTTTGACTTTATCTGGCAGGGTTCAAGCCCCGACCTTGGGAGATTGGCAGAATCTGAAAGATAGACAAATATTTGTCTGTATGAATATAAAATGCTTTCATCTTTTCCCCAGGAAGAGGATAAATAGAGTGCAAAGCCAATACTCTTTCCTGTGCAGGAGACCGTGAAACAATCAGCTTCATGTTTAACAGCCTCAGGCTCAAACTTGCATTCAATTTTCAGACTGTTTAATTGTATTTTCAAGCTGAACACATTCGCTATAACCTCAGTTTCATATACCCCAAAGACAGCATCTGAAATGCCTTTGTCCACAGTCCCAGCAGTTCTTTTTTTTTTTTCCCCCCTCAGAACCCTTCCACACTTCCTAAATCATTACTTTTGAAATGTTAGGTTTAACATCTAGGGCTTGGTGCTTCTGAACATATTACCTTAAAAGGACATAGCCAGGATGATAAGCTTGACCATATTTCTATTAAAAAACAGGCAGGAATTTATCACGCACCAGTTATCACTAAATTCTTCTACGCTTTCAGTACATTACTAAATTCTTTACATTTTATATGTCTTTAAAAACCACCTAAGTTTAACCATTATTTTTCCCCAGAAGAGCAAGATGAGAGCAAAGCAAAGACCACCACAGCCTGAAACAGACTGCTGAGCACAGAGCAACTCCTGCCTCTGGTTCCCAGAGCTGCCAGCGCATCTCAAGCCCCGGCCGTGGCCTCCCTTCGATTTTCCCAGCCGAAGGACCCAAGAGCTTTCCTAGCTCTCCATTTTGACCTGCAGAAGCCCATGCTGAGCCAGCACTAGCCTCCTCTTGAGCAAAGACCGACAGAACAGACCGCAGTCAGAAACACAGCTCTGATCTACAGTAAATCCTAGAGAGATTTCTATGCCTTTAATCCCCAAACATTAAAATCAACATGTGAATTTTGGACTTTGTGTCACAAACTGGACCTGCTGACAAAGATGGTCCTTCTTGGCTTTTTTTAATGTAAAAAGGTACTTAAACGGATCTCACTTGCTGCCTCTCAAAGTTCATTGATATCAAAACACAGTCAGCTTGGAGAAACAAAGGAAAGGCCAACTACAAACAAGCTACAGAGTCTCCTAGCCACCTCCCACCACCCTGTTTACAACCAGCCCCGTGCCATTTTCCACATACTTGGAAAAAAAGAGACTCTTTAGCTAACACACGTTTGCAAGAGAGACGCGGTTTTGTTCTAAACCCACAAACAACCTACCAGATACCAGTTTTAAAAGTGAAAGGCAACTTCCAGCACCCCGAGCGCAACTCCAAGTCTTTCTCTAAGGTGGTCCGACCGCCTCTCTCGGGCAAAGCGCCCGCGAGCTACGATGCCCAGCTCCTTTCTCCTCCGCGAGCTCTTCCCTGCGCTAAACAACAGCCCATCGCCCCAATGAAAAGCCTGGCCGGTGCGTTTGCATTTTTATCTTGCAGGCAGCGGCACAGCTTTAGCTTGCAAATGAAACAATATAAAGTGGATTAGCGGTTTGAATGTCAGGAGCAATAATGCATTACCTGGCAGCTGAAAAGAGTCTTAACCTCGGTCGGAAGGCACAAGACACCATCTGGCCTAGCTCCGCGCGCACACACACACACACACACGCACACACACGATCCTCCAGTGAGGCAACAACGAACTAGTGCGGGTGTTGCAACAGCAACCATGCACCAGGCGGGAGAACCTCCAGCCCACACCTTGCCGTGTATTGTTGCACCTGAGGCAGGGTGAAGTGTCACCTCTGCTGCCCGGGGACATTCAGCAGGGCGTGCAGTTAACAAATGACCTGATCCTCGGTGACGGCGCCGAGCAAACACACCTCAGGTGCAGCAACACCCTGGTATGTGGCGCCGGCGTATTTCCCGGAGTTCAGGCACAATGGCCTGTGACAGGTTCCAGCAGGGTTTAGGCACAGCCGCCGAGGGCTGCCGCCAGAGCCCGGCACGAACCTCGCGAGCCTCCGGAACGCTGGGTTTTGGATCCCCACACACCCTCAGCAAGCGTCAATGTTATCGTGGAGAGGCGGCCGACTTTACAGCAAGCTTTAAGTCAATGAGGAGATGCCTTGCTCACAGCAAATAATTACGTCACAATATCAGGACAAAGTTTCAGGTAACAACTGCAACTAGACTAATAATACAAAACCCTTCCAGGTTTTAACATTCGTTTTACTCCTCACCGTGGATATTTGCTTACTTTTTGCCTCTCTCCCAACCAAGGCAGTGAAAGGATTCAGTTTAACCTTCAGGTCCTCATGCATCAGCCTTTGTGTGGCTTTTAATCCCTGGGAGAGCACTTTTTAATTAAAAAGCCCCTTGATTTGAATTTTTAACTAGCTCTGTCTGCAGCGTGACGGGGAAAACGCCTGCCTCTGCGCCGAGAGCGCTTGGAAAGAGGTTTTCCAACAGGAAACCACCTGAAAGAGTTAAAGCGGGAGATGAGCAGCCGAGGCCAGCCTGCCTCCCAGCCCCGAGGAGGGGAGAGGTCTCCCGGCGTGGTAAACAA